GACCAAAAAACTTCTGATGCACACATGATAGGAAATAGGATTGCATTATAGCAATTCAAGACTGGCTGCATTATAGACATTTTAGCATAGATACCTGTTAGAGGAAACTGCATTATAGCGCAAATGCACTTAAAGTCTGGTAAATATTCTAACAGAAAACCTGTGTAAAGAGAGTAGGTCATCTTTTTATATTATTTGTCATAGAACAGTGTGTAAACAAATGCACATTGTCAGACTAGTATTCTAAATGAGAAAACGATTAGTAAAGTAATTAACTACAATTCCAATTAATTACTGTGATACCAACATGCCATAACGTATCACCATCAATGTTCTGTCTGAATAGAATCTCAGTCATTTTCATACAGTTGTCTATTTTAACATCTTGTATATGTACAACATGTAATGTAAACAATTCAAAATTGAAAAAAAGTAAACAATTTAATCAAGCATGGATTTGTTACAGTTAATATACTGATTTGTTTCTTACAGATTTGGTGAAAAAACAGATCACTTAGTGATGAACAGTGAAAGTGAAAGTCATGGTTTAAATAAATCCTGGTTATTACAAAACAAGCTGAATATGATATGCCCCCAAATATTTCCTGATTTGAAAGGGCAGTATACGGATATCCAACCCGTAAGTGTCATATAATGCTACCTATTCTAGTAGTACAGAAATATGGGAGCCATCCCCCATGGTACTCTCCAATCCAGCTGTAGTTGATATATGTGATATATGATATGTGTTATAATATGAGGTTATAACGAGGATACCTCAAAGTATACTCGAAGACAGTACAGTGAGAGTATCGACCGACGCGCAGTGGAGGTCGATGCAACAACGTACTGTCCGAGTGCATACTTTGAGGTATCCTCGTAATAACCTTATTATTATACATCTTTTCCTTCCAAGGATACATCATGGGAATGCCGAAATCCAAAAAGTTTGGAACAGAATCAGCAAACTTCTTTGTGTGGAGTCCAGTCAAACCCTTGTGGCAGCCATGTTTGTTTTTATTATTAGAGGACGTTTATGCACGTAATCATTTCATATTTGGAATTCGCATTTCCTAATATGGTAGGATTAAAATACCCTGTGTGATACCGCAAAATTACTGCGTGCTGTAAGTTATGGCGTTACAGTGACAGATGTATAATAATACAATATATTGCCCAAGTACCACAGAAAACTGTCCTGGTACTTACCAACAATTCACTTCCTGATGCCATTACATGCCATTCATATAGGCTATATGTGTAGGCTTTCAGCAGGTGATGTATGAAAGTTTACATATATTTCATATATGGAAATTAGAAGTACAACTTATATATCTTTTTCCTTATTATTATCGTATATATATCGTATATAATAACTATGAATAAAAGTAAAAGGAAGTGAATGTAATAGGAGCCCATGACCCTGTAATACAGCAGCACATTACACTGAAGTTGTATTTCTCTAGTTACAGAGTGAAATGAAAGTTGACAATGGTCTTATAACAAAGGCAGAATGTTTAATGAAATATCACCTGAGACCACATAGCAGATGGGACAGGTATGATTTCTTAGCATCATTCTAGAAATCTATTTTACTAAAGGTAGCTCCTTGCTTAAGGACACTGAATATAAGCCTGGGTATTAAATCCACTAGTTACTCACTCTCCACTGTATTCTGAATATTTTCGCTATTAATAACCATGTAAATCAAATGCAATGTCATTAAGAATGTGATGGCCACACTTTCACTGCTATAACAACTGTCAGTTGATATATTGACAGCACTATATAATCAGTATTAGAACATTGGGATATAGCTTCTATTGGAGCATTTAAGCATGTGAAAACAAGTGAATTTTTGGTTTTCAATTGCTCAAAAATACTGGATGGAGCTTCTAATACAGATCTTATGACACTAGTGTGTGGGAATGGAAACTGTCATGTATTGTACAATACATGCGAGTTTGTGTAATTTGTCATGCATCTTCATCAGTTAATATCTGTATTTAAATAAACAGTACTATAATTGTTACAATTGTAGATATTCAGCCTGTATTTAAATTGTACAGTAGATGTATACCCTTGGTAAACATGGTATCACAGAGCTCAACATAAAAGAACAATAGAGAAATACTGCTAGATTACTTTGCCATGAACATAATAATCATCTACACATGTTTCAATTGTCATCTTAGAAGTGGAATTCCAACTGTAACAAGAGAACAAATCGAAAAAGATGTCCACATGATACCAGGATTTACAGAAAAACTCAAAGATCTCAGGAAAACTCTTTCACATCATGTCAACTCTTCTAATACTAGTGAGCTTACTGGTACTGATGAGAGTGACACAGTAAAAACTGAAATGCAAAGGACTAATTGTGTAGAGTCAGCGAGTAATAATGTCACTGAACCTAATGATTCAGAAACAACTAGTGAAGTAGATAATATTGTAACTTCAGTGAAATATCCAGAAGTTGTATTTTTCGGTACGGGATCAGCAATGCCTAGCAACGCAAGAAATGTTAGTTCAATACTGCTTAATATGAAGTAAGTGGCGAGATATATGAAATTATTTACAATTCTGAAAGGACTCAGAGTGTTTGAATGCTGCTTACTCTCCTATTGTTGTCCTGTGTTTTCTACTTCTTGGTTCAGTTTTGATTTTAGGTGGTCAGACTCGGTGGCATTTAATGGGTGAAGAACCTCATCAATCTGTGCATTCCAATAAAACTTGGTACATATACCTTTCTAATTCATCTTTGATTTATATTTTTTGTCCATGACATCACTATCACTATTTACATTGCAGTAATGATACATCTGTTTTAATGGACTGTGGAGAAGGGACTTTTGGACAGCTGTTTCGTCACTATGGCAACCAAACCCTAGATATAATGCAACGAATACAATGTATATATATTTCTCATTTACATGCGGATCATCATATGGTAAGTAGACACAAATTTTCTTGTATCGTCATTAATTACTGTAAAGGGATTAATTATTCACTGCGTTTTAATTTTGCTTATTTCGCTGACTGGAAAATGCGCTGAATAAAAACCCAGTGAATATGTAAAATTTAGCATAGAACACATTATCTAAATGAACAAACCGTGAATTTAAAACCCACTGAATATGCCTAAAATGGTAAATAAGCGAAATTTAAACCCACAGTATTAACACTTTCTGGCTTATCATTTCTTTTACTAATACTTCAACAAGCATAGAACGTGGCATGATAACATATAACTTGCTATTAGTCCCTGTTTAGATGAAGACCAAAAACTAATAAATTTACTTCAGTGCATCTTGTGTTAAATTCTTATTCAAGATGGCTGATAAGCAAAAAGCAAACTGTTCTACTGCTCTGAAGTTAGATCTTGGGCATGTAGTTATACTTGGATTTTGTCTGGATTCTGATCTCTGACTAAAGTGCTTGCATGCATCTTTTGTGCAGACAAGTACATTATTTATTTGAACAATTTTGTCTAGTATGATTCATTATGGTTGACTAGTGGCCATTTTTGTTGTAAAGTTTTTTTAATTAACATGAGTGTTGGTTCTTATACAGGGTCTGATAAGTTTATTAATTGAACGAAAAAAATATATGGTGAGTATAATTCAATACAATTTCAAAGTTCTTTATCCCTCACAATGTTCAACAAGTTATATATCTATTTGCATTATTATAAAAGATATTTCATGTATATTAATCTCTGGCACTCGTTTGTGGATTATTTAATCTTCAATATTTGTCAGTTAACCCTTCGAGCACCAGAATTTTTCACCACCATTCTGTTGGTTGGTGTACAATTTTAAACATTTTAATGAATTGTTTTTTAAATTTCTTTGTTAATTTCAAACCAAATGGATATAATTTTCCACATAGTTTTGATCTTAAAGTTGTGGAAAAGTGATGTGGGATTATGTTTTTGTAAAGAGTGATAAAAGTTTACTTTGGTGCTCAGAAGGGTTAATACAAGTTTATTTATCTCATGTTTGATGTATACTATAATATTTTAAGTTATAAAAAAAGCTCTTTTCAATGAAACACGTCTTGGATATAACTGGACATACACCATAATTTGCTCGCTGGTTTATTTGTCAGACATTTTGATTGTTGTCTTGTGTTTTTTGGTCTTGCAATTGTACACTTGCATGAAATATTCATGTTATAAATATTTGGATACTGTTCGTGTGTGATATTTGTGATAACTGTATGTGCCCATATGCTTCAATTCTAGAAATGACTGGAATATAGTACCGGTACATTGTATGCGTACTACCTGTATATTTCTCACTAGCTATGTGTGTTGTATGTTCCTATTGGAGATTTGTCTATGATGTCTGTGAATACATATACTACAGTTAAACCTGTGTATAGTGACCACAAAGGAGACTTGGTTAAAATGATCTTTATAGACAGGAGGTTGGACATAAAATCAAAATCAAAGAAGTTGACTTGAGGAAATTAAAAAAACAGAATGCTCATTATTATGTTGGTATCTAAACAAAGGTGAATCTGCAAGAATATTGCTGAAAGGGTGATAACACAAGACAGGTGGTCTTTATAGAAAGGTTGCTTTTATGATAAACCGGTACCTTAGAACTACCTATTAAAAATTGGTCACTATGGTCATTATATAGTGGTGATCACCAATCCAGGTTTGATAGTACCTGTATGTTTCTCACTAGCTATGTGTGCAGTATGATTCTATTGCAATATTGTGACTGATGTAGTATATTATATTACTTGTATTCTCACTTTCAACATCTGAATTGTCTCTTGATTAATTTGCAGGTTGCTCTTGGTGGCGATGTCACTCCATTAAATCTTGTATTACCCGCTCAACTTATACATTTTCTTAATTTATATGAAAGATTATTCCATAAAATCCTAGACAATGTAAGGTAAGAGTATATTTCTTTATATTGATTATATTTAATAATTTATTTATATATATTTTTTTCTCATAGACAATGTTAACTGAATGATTTCTTCCTCACATTAGACATTAAGTCATCAATTACATAAAATGATAGAAGCTCCTAATTCCGAAAGTTTGGAAAAAAACTGTGGTTTTTACAAAGTTCTTTTTGTACAAAGTATATAGTTTTTACATGATTCTTTTTGTATAAAGTATGGCATCAACAAGATATCTTTGTACAAACTGTAGTATTTACAAAATTGTTATACCTGGTACATCATGTATATAAAATAATGGTTTACACATATGCTTACCAACAGAAACAAGTATAAATGCAACAATCGGTCATATGACAGAGAGTTCTACAATGAACCGAGTAAGCTAATCTAAGCTCAGAACAAGTTGTTACCTAAACAAATAACAAAGTTTTCGTTGTTCTTTCAGAATAATTCCGTGTAGAAATCTACTTCCTTTTTCAAAAGACAAAGGAGAAAACGAGGAGTTGCTGCACACACAGTTGAACCTAGAAAAGGTATGGTCTCCAAGTTTTGTATGTTTAATATATATCCTTTGTCTTCATAATTCAAGGTGGTGGCCATTTTGAAATATACGCATATATAGTAGTAAAAGTTTAAGCGAGAGAGTTATCACCTGCGCATATGGCAGACAGCCATGGCATGTCGTTATTTACAAACATGTGTTTACCCATGAGCCTTTGTGTTTTTAGCATGCATTTTTATTGTCACTTAAAATGGCAGCCATTCAACGCATTGCCTTCTGGATACCTTCATGGATAGGTGATATAAATAGTATCAGTGGTTCTTTAGTTGGGGTTTGCAACACACATAGTACGGTATTGTGACATGTCAAGATCCCATTCAAGTTTCTTCTCGTAGATAGCGAGACTGATGCTACGACCTTCTGACATAAAATACATCAATGTTCAAGGTTTGTAATAAAACATGTTTTACCACTATCATAGTGCAAAAATGTAATATATCGAAAATGTGCAGAAAATATAGTTCTCGTAATCCGTCATTTTGATCCACCTGGACCTCCCAGTATCCTAGTTACCTTGGGCATGCGCATTCGCATTGTTCAGAATTGGGAACGCTTATGCGAGAGCGAGATTGAAATGGGATCTTGGTATCATGTCACACTACTTGCAAACGCCAAGTAATGTACCTCTGATAGTATGTCATACCTGTAAAGTAATGATTGTCATGTCCACTAACTAAATTCCTCAATGGCAATGTAGATGGCAGTGTCACATAAATGGTATAACTCGGAAAGTACCGGTACATAGTTTCAATGTAACATACATCAGTGTCGTCCGCAGGCAATTTGTTACAATTGTAACATGAAAATCTTTTGGCCATACAATGAGCCTTCATGCATAATTATTTAGTGTTATTTGTATACTATTTAATAATAGATGGAGACTGTGACTGTGAATCATTTTGCTCAACCACATGGGCTTGCCATCACACATAGAGATGGGTGGAAGATTGTATATTCAGGAGATACTATGCCTTGTAATGGGTTAGTAGATATAGGTAAGCATCAGCAAATATTCAAGTAATTATTGTGTTGAATGACTTGAAATTAAAACTATCGTATACAGTACATACACTTAGTATTTAATTAATACTTACTTTACCGTTCACTCTATTTATTCTCATTATTTAAAGAGAGATTATAGTGTTGAAAAAGATATTTATTCATGTGCGATTCTGCTTCATTGTTGCACAAAGTCAGCTTCCTATTAATTAGTGTTGACTAGGAACATGTTATTGTCCGCACACTTATTACACCTCAATACTTTTTTGCAAGGTATGAATGCTGATATTTTAATACATGAATCTACTTTCGAAGACGGTTTAGAGGACGAAGCACTCGATAAAAGACACAGGTAACAATTAAATTTCAGAAAGTCTGTAACAAATATTGTAAATGGCTAACCAACCCTAACACCTAAGTCTTAAATTCATAAGTGTAATTTCTTTGTTTACTTTCAGTACTATGTCACAAGCCATAGATATCAGCAATCAAATGAAAGCCAAATTTGTTTTATTGACACATTTTAGTCAACGTTATCCAAAAATACCAATTATTGATGCAAAAGATGATAGAACACAGAAAACTGGTATTGCATTTGACCATATGAAGGTAAGGTATTCTGTGTCATATCATGAATGCAACATAATACAATACTGCACGTTTAGTATTAGGCAATCATCTATTCAGTGTCATGTTTTTGTTTTAAGAGACTTACATGTATATTTCGGGTTCCTTGTCTGTACAGCTGAGACATGCCTTGATTGATTTTTTTAAAAGTTTTTACTAAAACAAGTCATAATGGCATACTAATGCTTGTCAAGCCGTTTTTCTTTTTATGACCGTTTATTGGTGTTAATTTACTCCCAAAATATGGACTTTTAGTGGAAAAAACAAATCCAAAGCAAGTACTTCCTGCTTTGCCTCATGAACTGTTGCACGAGGAAATACAAAAATGTCAAAAGTAAAGTGTATAATCCATCAATAAATGACAGCAAGGTACATGCCTGTCTATAATGGCACACATATGTTGTGCTATTTCATGGAATAAAAATTGTTCCATTTCGCTTTTTAACATGTCATTTATATAAGTTTCACATGACTTTCAAGACAAAAAAATTGAGGTAATCGGTTACTTATATTATGTCAGAGCATACTTGTACGAAGTTTTGTGTCAAAATGTACTCATTTAGTAAAGTTTTGAAGATGAATGCATGAAAGTACAGCTTCAGTATTATACCGGGTAATCAAATTACAACCCCGTTTTTCTTTTTGAAAAAATACATTGTAGACTGATATTTTATCTTTATTACCGTAGTATATGTTTGCACATGATGGGCATATTAGGTTATAGCTATTGCATTATTTTCACCATTCATGTTGTATCAGTACTTTGCAACTTTGTCTGAAAAATTGTATGCAACCATATGTTGCAAGGACAAAAACATTTTTACTAAATTACATTTTTTCTGATAAGTTAAAATAAACTATTCAGCAACATCATATGCAGTTGTATACAACAATAATTGTCTTTATTTGTCAGGTAACGATTGAAGATTTACCGATATTACCACAACTTGTACCTGTATTACAATGCCTGTTTCTGGAGGCCATTATGGAGATGGAGGAAAGAACTTTCAAGCGTACACAGAGGGAGCGAGCTCTTGCTGAATGAACTATGAGGGCATGCATCAATACCCATATAATTTGGTTACCTTACAAATGAGGGTACATATTTAAATATTGACAACACACGCATCATGCGAGTCTTACAGTAGCCACAGCCATAAACGTCTACAAGTCTGATAGTAGCTCGAACTGTGAACATACCAAGTCTGCAGCACATTTACAAGCATGCTCAATACAGTAAGCAACAAATTGCTCCACTGTAATAACGTATTGGAGATAAATTCGAAAGATTATTTATTGAACTATTATTTTTAATTCAATAGCCCAATGAGCTTGACCTTAATTTAAAGATTATTCATAATTCGTATCTTTATCAGTCTTAGGACTTATATGACATATTTGGTGGTAAGAATTTGTACAATTTTGGATACATTTGAGGATTCGTCCTCGTTACAAATTACTGCAGTAACAGAGATGTCCATGTTTCATAGAATACTATTTAAAAGTATTAACAAAACGATCGTCAACTACATGTATTTCTGACATGATTTTGAGTACTTAAATTCTACAATTCAGATCCCAAAACTGTATTAATGCATAATTGAATATATACGTTTCCCTCGGTTGCACAAATGTCAGTGTACACTGTTCATATACTTTATTTGCTCTGTTAGTAGCACATGTGCCGAAGTAAATTTATACAGAGGTGTTTCCATGGTCAAAATAAATCGTATTTTAATAATTCAGGATAGTTTATATGTACTTCTTATAAAACAAATGCAGTATTTAAAATACGTTTTATTATTATACATCTGTCACCATAATTTGCACGTAATTTTTAGGTATTTTCATCCTACCATATAAGGAAATTTGAATTCCAAATGTGCAAGTGTTCTCTAATAATAAAAACAAACATGGCTGAATCGGGGTTTGAATGGAGTCCACACAAAGAAGTTTGCTAATTATGTTCTAAACTTTTTAGATTTCTGCATTCCCATGATGTATCCGTGGAAGGAAAAGATGTACAAGGTTATTGCAAGAATACCTCAAAGTATACACTCTGACAATAGTGAAATATTGTCATGCACAATGTATAGGATAATGCACAACAGACCTGAGTGAAGTTCTAATATCTGAACAATGCACAATACCAGTGCATTATCAGACTTCCATGACATCAACCAATCATGTTCAACTGATTCTGTCGGTATGTGTATTTAGCAGAGCAGCCACTTTGCTGCAATCTATTGAAAGTAAGCCTCCAAGACCCGGTGATTCAGGTTTTATCGTAGATGGACGACGCAACATTTCAAATGTAACAAGGTTTGAAAGTCTACCAGACATTCCTGATAAGTTGAAGATGTTGGTCTTTAAGTGTTGTTGCACTTGGTATAATAATTTTATAGGGTACATAATATACGAAGGTCACAAAACAGTCGTGGTTCCTGAAGTTGACTTTGTATCTAGGTGACAATATTGAGATAATGCCACATACTAGGATAATTTGTCGGAATGCCCAGCAAGAACAAAGACAATCAAATATGAACCATGGAAGGTGAAATGCTTTTTGTTCATTGGCCACTTTGTGGCAAGTCATAGAATCGAGAAAACCAAGTTGGATGTAAACTATAAGAAATGACCCAAAAAAAATTTAAAAAAACTTCCTTTCTATCAACTATTTGTTTTAGCCTGTTACTGGAAACTTCAAATTTGTTGCATTCACAAATCCCATATTGTCCTGGTCATTTATAAACTTTGCACTTTTGTCTCCATATAAAATAGTATATGCCAGTTCAATGTGCATATTAGTAATGCCAACAGTTTTGGTTCTTGTATTTGCACACTTATCCTGAAAAGTACGTGCGAGTAGGCCCTCACCGGCTAATATACAATAATGTAAAAGGGAGTTCACGTACATTTTACATAGGGGATGCATATGGATACAAATATCAACAAGCTCCGCTGTTAGCAATGCACATTTCAATTAAAGAAAAGAAAATGAACAATATGCATAGTATCAATGCAACAAGACTTGCCGTTTTCAACAAGATTTCAAAAATATCATTTTTCACCACAAATGATTGTGGTTTTTAACAAGAAATAAATATCACTTTTAACCAAAAATGACAAAAATATTCATCAAAATTAGAGAATTAAAGATATTACAAAATGAACAAATCTGAGAGAGATCCACATGTAGTACCTACCTATATATGTAATATCAAAACAATTGGACTACCCAAGGAAGATATACACCAAGTATCAAAGCAATCATGCTTGTAGTTTTTAAGAAGTCGAAAAAGTAAAACATTGACACGGACAGTCACTCATGATAAGCTTCGCTCGACAAAGTCGACAGCAGAGCTAAAAATCTGGCTACTAACTTGGAGTAGCTAGATATCTATAGACCACTAGTTAGTAGAACTCTTCAAACATTAAGTGTGGGAATTTGTTGCATTAAAACCCATGTGTACACTATTAGTTTTATTTCCTTCATCCAATTTACAAATACAAAAGGTCTAGACATTTCAACTCATGAAATAATCCAAGTGCTATATCACTGTGTACATCTGATCTATCACTGAAAAATATAAATGCTGCCTTACAACAGAAAACGCCAAGTGTGAACCAGATGTGCAAGGGAGTATCAACACATTTATTGGCCTTGCTGAAAATTTACAAATCACCTGCAAAAAATAATTACAGCACTCTATTTCTATGACAATTAAATCGGCAGCTATATCATTTTTCAACAAAGCATTTAGTTGAGACCACAGCTGATGACAAAAAAAACAAAACAGTGACATTGCCTACTGTAAAGCCAATGGTGTAATGCAAGTTCTTTTTTAGTAAACGCCTCGATAAATCAAACAAATTTTTTTTTGGGGGGGGAGGGGGCATTTCAGCAAATTCTTGCACATCCCTAAGACTAAAATGTAATGTACTAGTACTGCAGATGATACAGGGTGTACATGGAAATATCTAGACATTAACAAACACTCAAACATAAAAAATAGTATTAAAAATATCACGTGATGAGATAAAGATTACATGATTTTGTTGAACTCAACTCCTGAAAATGTTTCTAACACTTGTGTACTTAATATTTTTAGACTGTATGTGTGTATATATATATATATATGTGTGTTTGTGTGCGTTTGTCTAGTCCTCTTCGGCTGAACCAGAAGCTTCGATGTCTGATTGATCACCATTCCTACTTCCATCAGGTTCCGGCGTTGGAGTGCGACTGAAAATAACAAGATAGCATAATTTGATTTGAAAACTGCAATACATGTACCAGAGTATTTGTCTAAGAATACAAACTTGTATAATGGAACACAAGTTTGAAGTGATCATTGAACGACACTGGTTACTGCATTAGATATACTGAGAAGTGGGTGTATTAAATAGCAAAGTTTCATTCTCAGAGAATAATGCTCTATAGCAAATAACCTTAAACAGTGTAGGTTATTAAAAAATTAAAAGAAAATATTTCTGACTTAGGTTTTTCATTGAGGTGTGCTTCTAATGTAGTTAACATGTGTAATGTGTATTTGCTCTGTAAGTTATAGCACATGCTCTTAAAGTGCCTTGAATTGCTTACTACCATGATGTCCAAAATCACTTGCTAGTATGTGAATATTATCAGTTTATATATATTCCTCATTTGCATACTAACAAGTATTTTCCTGGTGACGTCACCAGAGGTCACCACAGCATTCTGGAGAATGCTCTACATGTAGGCCCCAATTTATTGCCTTTAAAATAAGCTAGCTATTCTTTAACCAAATTTTGAATCTCAAATATTTAACTATTATTAGCATAGTAAAAATGCGATTCATTTTGGGATTAATTTCATGACCTGTTATGGCTTACAATGGTTTATTTTAGTTTGATACATATAAATCAACATGAAAATCACCTATAGCAACGAGAAATATTGCACAATCAAATGTTTGATTCATTTTGCATAGTAAAAATTGATTACAATCACTCTAATCACAGGTAGCAATATGCAGGTACTAACACGTGTATGCATTTGACTCCTAATGATTCCACTAAACATTAACTTAAATCAATTTAACCATGGCATACTCAACTAAAGATGTGTGGAAATAATTATCTGCCAGATTATTACATGTTTACCTTTTTTCAGGAGAAAGGCGTTCTCGTGAGTATGAGCGTCTTCTCTCACCAGACATAGAGCGGCTTGTATTCTTGGCAGAAAATGACCTACGAAAATAAACCAACAAGCCCATATATTAAAGTCATATTAAACTAGAATAAACAACAATGCACGCATCTAAAAATTACAAATACAAGTATTTTGCAATTCACATTCCCTACCGTAATAAATATAAAGACCAAAAAAAATATATAGAATTCTATCGTAATAGTAGTTTTGGAGTGTGACGTAGAATATAACAGCTGAGTGAAAACCTGCATCTCATGGTATTTTTTCACTATGGAGATACACATGCTATGCATGCTACAATGATATCTTGTTTATAGCAAGAAAAAAAATGTCAACAGCAAGTGCACGTACTTTAGCTCCTAGCCCTGCGCTTGTGAAATTTTTTACATTGCAATTTTATAGCTTTAAAAATTGCGCATATGCAAAAAGCATATGATGTTTCAATATTTACTCGAGTAAAATAATAAATGGATTGAGACAGCCATCTTGTGTAGACTTGACAAATCAAAGTGACATGCATCCACCTGCAGTAATGGTTTGAAGAAAATCAAGCACCACATGCCTAAGATCTGGTGGTCAAAATACCCAAGAGTTGGCAGTTCGCCATCATATTACAGACAACATTGTATGCTGGTGCATGTGCCATGATGAACATTCTAAGGCATAAAATTTGAAGCGAGTTTCTCAAAGCATGTCTGGAATATACATGTCTGTATGGAATAGAATTTGTCAAAAATAAGTGGCCACTAGTCGGCCATTTCGAGTCAAGTTTGCAAAATCAAAGTGGTGTGCATCAACTATCCATAATGGTTAACCCTTCCCTGTAGTTTGAAGCAAATCGGTCAACACCGAGATCTAGTTACGTACACAGAAATATACCTGATTTTAGTACATTTTTAAACCACTTTGATCAGATGACGAAATTACTGTATGTGCGAATGCATTTTATGATGTACTGTATGTACAAGTTTGAAGTTAATTAATTGCTCAAAGCGTGTGCCAGACACATGTCTAAAATAGAACTTGTCTAAAACAAAATGGGCAGCCAGTCTGCCATTCTGCATCAAATTTACAAAGTGGCATGCATTAACTATGCTTGTACCCATAATGGTTAATCCTTCCACCATATTTCAAGTAAATCAGCCAACATACGCCCAAGAACTAGTTTTTGACATACCATAAAATTAGATATTTTGACAACAAAAATGGTCACTAGTCGGCTATCTATGCATTAGGCATTAACAATAAGTAGGTTTTCAAGATACAACTCCGGAGGTCATGTATGACCGAAATATGTTGATTAATTTACATTAAAATGGTGTCGCCATCCCGAGTCTGATGGTCAAACAAATACATGTGCATATGCAAGACAAGATGTACATGTATATACAAAGTTTGTACATGGTCAAGGCAGTACAGATACAGTACCAGAAACACATTCATTTAAAAAAAAATGGCCATTAGTTGATCACGAATCAAATGGATATGCACATATATCCCAATATATACACGTGTGAATTTTGTATGTCATTGGCTGAGGCATGTTCAAATGCACAAAGGTCAAACTGTTAAGTCTTTAGACTGCATTCAAACAGCGACTAAAAATACATACCTGCTTCCACTTCTGCTACGACTTCTACTATATTTACCACCAGAAGATCGACGAGGAGGTGGCGATCGAGAATAAGATCGTCTGGGTGACCTGAAGTAAATAATAGCAAGTCAATAAAAGTAATACAAATCAAGTTTTTTTATATGGTTTACACTTCTGAGCTAAAATCAATGAAGCACTGATGCTTAAGCAGATTGCAACAATATTTGTATAACCGGGGAGAGACAATAGTTTTTATTATTATCCACGGTTGAAATACCAAGAACTATATGAAAATTTTGATCTTTATTTGAAATGCATACACATGCAATTTGTACGCTGTTGTGTTGTTACTCCTTCATTCTTGTGACAGTGTTCCCCCCAGGCAAAAATGTATTGCATACTTTCAAATTTGTAAATTAGAACATGTTTTATTAGATTATGTTATTCATAGCAAAGATACTGAATATACCTTTTTACTTTCATTGGTGATTTACATTTCAAGAGTTTCGTTGAATATCATTCAATTTTTTTTTATAGTAAGTGTAATGTACACATGTATTTTAACTAAAGTTTTGTCAAACTCTTGAATGTGCTTTTTTTCAGGAATCTTTGCATCAGGATATGTAGTTTGTTTGATTTCTTTGTGTTGTTTAAGTTGATTTTTGATCATTTTATTTTGAGGTGATTTAAAAACAAAATCAGACTAGTTTTCCCAAGAATTCAACTTTGATGTTTGCATGTATAACTATGCTATCAAAAACAAAATTGTTTTATATCTCAAACTAGTTATTCTCCTCCATTGTTAATATGCTTTGTTTTTCCTTGGTATGATTATTACTTCATTGCATACACAAATTACATGTACCGGGTACAACTTATTTACATACTTTTTGAGCATTCGGGAGTTTGTTTATAAGAATAACTTCAATAGTCAATCTAGGATTTTAATTTGGAAATTTATTTCAAATTATGCTGGGGCCTATTTGAAAATTTTATGGTACTATCATTCTGACACATGTAATGTCCATAAAAAATAGACCACTTCAAATGATAACAACGATGCTGAATGGTCCTGGGGAGAACACTGCATGTAGACAAGTCTATCACCTTCAGCAATGTCCAAGGAAAAAGTAACAAGTGTTAAACTCAATTAAACTAATTCGCATTTGGACCTCGTATACAGAACTGCAACAGTACATTGACAGATGAACTAAATACGAGTATACCAGATTTTAACAGCAATTATATATTCAAGCGTCGAACAGTTTTAGCAAACACTGAGTGAGGTTATATCAAATAAGTCTTCAGAATGGCGTAAAACTACTCAACACCAGACAACTTGTTTTTAATTAATTGTTTTTTGTTAGAGGATAAAACCTATTTGCAATTACATGGCTTTGTATCGCCTCCTACCTGACTTGAAACGCTGTGCAGAAAACATCTTTAAGAGGTCAAAACATTGAGCCTTACAATGACAATAAGGCCAGCAGTGTTGATAATAAATTGAAAAGTTGTGGTGGTGGTGATGGTGGTAGTTGTTGAAGGGCTGGAGTTGTTAAATAATATAACGTTGATTGTAGTCGTAGTTGTGTGGCGGTGGCCTGTTGCACGATCGCTAGGCATGCTCAGAAATGTTGCATGATGTTGTTGCCAACTGATGTAGGTGGTGTTGGTTGAGGTGATGATAACTGATTGATGTTGGGCCGAAGGAGTTCATGTTGAAGGTCGAGTTGAACGGATTTTTGACATTGCAGAAGTTGTACAGCATGAACTAGTTGTAGATGCACTAGTAGTTGTTGATTGTTGGGCTGTAGGAGGGGCTATAGACCCTGCAAAGGTGTGCACCCAAGTCATTATTCCAAAATATAAACACATGATAACAATAGCAACCTTACATCCCTATTATCAACGTGCACAAGCAAAACATAATCAATTAATGATCTACATTGATGTAAGGAAACAGCAGTTAAACATTATGCACACAAATTAAAAAAAAATGTTTCAGCTTAAAAAATGTGGAATTTTGATTTTTTAAATTTTATGAATATGCCAGTTTCACACGTGCAAGACATTGAAAAAAAAAATCCAAATAAAGTGTTGATTAGTGATGTAAAAAAACATGGTACTCCTGTAATGTCATGAGGGACGTAGACTAAAACAACATAGTGAAAACTGAACATCATGCGCTTATAAAGCAATGATTATTTTAGTTCATGGCATGCCAACAAATTAGGCATATACAATTTTTAATTCAGGAAAGCATTATTTGACTGTTTTTATGTACAATAGAAAAACAAAATCAAATCATTGTATTAGCAATTTATATAAAAAATATTGAAATTAAAAATAAAATATGAAATGACAATGATAACAGACTTCATTTCTAGACTTTTTAAGCTCTGAGGAAGAAAAATTTACACAGTTCCATTACATAAACACATACCTTCTGCTGGGTCGGCGGTCATAATCACGATCATCATAATGACTTCTACGTGGTGGTGGGGGAGGTCCCCTCTCTCTGTATCGAGGCCTTCTGCTCTTACCACTAGATTGCTCAACTCTGACACGCCTTCCGCATATAACCCTGTAATAGTTAACCCATGTGATGCAAGTAAATAATACTGCAGGAACATCAAAACGAATAGAAGCCTCTGCAAGACTTCATGGGCATGAAATTATTTTGATAGACCTAATATAAAAATGTGATTCCAGGTAGTAAAAATAGAGAATGAATTTTATAAGAATAGGATACAAATGGAAATTTTTTTTTGTGCATGAATAAATTTTTGGTTAATTTAATAAACAGTGATACATTTTTTGTTTAAATGAAAATACAGACATATGTCATATGATCTAGCATTTGCAAGTTTGGCAATAATTTTAAACATACAACAACTTCTTTACGCTCTAGCTTTGTAAAAATACAAATCTGCCTAAAAATAGTCAATCAATTTTGTTATCAATTAGCAGCTCCTACAGACATACATTGTACAAGACCAGCTCCAGTTTAGATAACTACAACTCACATAATTACAACATTTATCTCACCTTCCATCCAGTCCTCTAACTGAATCACTTGCATCTCTTGGGTCTTCAAACTCTACAAATGCAAAACCAGGCGGGTTCCTTGCAACCCAGACATTGCGCAACGGCCCATAGTGACTGAAAGCTCTTTCTAGTTCATGTTTAGCTGCCCCAGATCCCAAGTCACCTACGTAGACTTTACAGTCCAGGCCACATGTGTCCCGCCAATGAGACATGCTTGACTAGAAGAAAAAAATGAGAGTTATGAATTCTGAGTCAATATCTCATTGCACAACACCAGTTTCTTACAGAGACAGCAAATAATTTCTACATGATAAGAATGCCCACTTATTGTACAAGAAGACATTGTTCTCTTGATAAATCAATTCCCAGATAATAGACACATAAAACAATGTTTTATCCCTATGCAAATGAAAAAACCTGTTAAACTAATTAATATGTACAATTCCAATGGCAAACAATAGACTGACAATTATGTACACAACAATCAATGGAGTCTAAAAGTTGAACCAAGTGCAGACTTTCTTTCACTTAGTTAAATATTTAGCAAGCCTACAAAGGCAATCAACAATAACTTTCAGTTTTGTTATATTCTTACCATTATGAAGCGCCTTTGTTCAGACTTTCAGGAATTATGGCGCTATATAAGTTTAAAATAATAATAATAATGACTTAGTATAGAACACACACAATTTTTGGTTTGTAGGTGCTTGTAATAAAGCAAATATGGCATAAATGTAATAATCAAATGAGCTGTGCAATTCCTGATTCCTGTAATGCAATTCTTTTTGTGCATATGTAAACTACCTTGCAACCACAGCGTAGGACAAAAATATAAAAAGTCAAATAAAAGCAACAAACAGGCGATCCAGCAGACAGTGGCACATTTGTAATAGTTTTTAAAAGATTCTCTAAGACAAGCCTACGTCACAAACTGGTCAAAATGCCCCGAACATTGCAGCAACCAATCACAGACTAGCTTAAACAATAGCTTTCCCTGACGATAATACTTAGCAACGTTATTTCCCTCACACTAACTATAAAATTTGTTTGTTTTTGTCTAGTTTCCGTTTCCGGTCTGTCTTAGAGAATCACGGAATATAAAGACAATATGACACTATAGACAAAGATAATTTTCATGTTCGTTTTTCTTACTTAGGCAGAATAGTGTCCAAATTTCCAGAGGCTGACAAGAGTTGGTTGAAAGGTGATTGCACTTTTATTAGAAAAGATTTTTTTATGCTACGAGTTGGAAACCTGTATTGCGCGACTCAACGAGTTTGGAAAATTAGGCCTTACCTTCCGGTTTGTTGCCCTTGGGTCACGCGCAAGCGCAAATGCTATCAATATTCGGGAATTCATGCAAAATAATATTGCAAATTACCACGGACCATTACCATTTTCATATTGGTTTAAACAATTTTTGAGCCAAGACGTTAACAGAATATTGTTGAATAATGCGTCGCAAACTTCCAATTATAAATAAACAATCAAAAATGTAAAAACATGGCCTACGGCCAGAGAAAAACGTGCTTTAGAATACAGTTATGGAGTTACCAGATTCAAAATCACGACGTTGAGATACTATTATTACAAATTATCAAAGAACACCACATAAATTTAAAACGAAATCTTTGAATCAAAAATTATTATCACATCGTTATATGCATAGTCTAGTGTGTTCGTAACAAACGAGAACCTAAACAAGCACGGACACAAACTTAACGAAACGCAACGATTTCTTTTGTCACGACGACACTAACCCAATAATTTGCCAGGATTTTACGACTACAAAATGCCTCCATACTTACCCAAAAAACCCTAAACCTTGTCAGTAATCTTCTCGGCAAATCTCAGAATTGTATAACAGGCATAAATTGCAGTAATAATGCCTGAAAGAAATGAGAAACGCTTACAAAAAAAAACGGGAACAAACGCGCATAAATCCACCCTTTCTCACCAATCAAGAAAAATGGCGTCACATCATTGCAGGGTATCACCACAGAGGGCAGTATCCCATTGGAGCGCCATCACAGGTGGTATACAGTAACAACTAGACTCAAAAACGGGAAATGCAATTTTTTTTTAACAATTTCATCTTGAATTTCATCATTATTATTACAGTGTGTGGTGTATAAACGGTTACAGAACAAAGCATGAGAGTAAGCCCTCAAATATAAATATACGGACAGTCGAACTTTTCAAACTTCAAAGTCGACAAAAAGCAATATATTTTCTCGCATCACACCATCGATAACGCTGATCGATAATATGTTTATTAAAGGGAGGTGGTCGTCGTGCTGCGCATGTGCGACATTTGTGTTGATAAACATTGATTTTCCCACAATCCAATGCGCTCTTCTAATGGGAATCACAAGTATGAGGTTTGACCTGGGCGCGACTTGCACCATTTACCGCTAGTGACTCCTTCGATACTTTCCAAGCACCTAAGCAATACCTAATTAAAGCTTGATAATCACTCTCCCTTGCAGAATCGTCGTGACATAGGGAGCCACAGAGAGCCGCAACTAAATTGTGGGACGTTCCCTGACGACTACCTAGCTTAGTGATAAAAGACCCATAGTCTCGGCGACGGAGAATGCTTGATAATGTCTCAGTTTGTACTCGTTAATCTGCACAGGCAATGTACAGGCAATTTGGAAATAGTACTAAAAGTTTTAATCTTCATGTGAATAGTGAATGTGAATAGTCTTGAAACCTTTTTTTACGTACAATCATACAATATTGAATATACGTGGAAATGCGTTTGCAATAGATCATTTACGGGTTCATGTATCACGTGATATTTTTTTTCCAAATACGGCATAATTATTTACCATGTTGTCTTCCTTGTTTGTAGTTGTTTGTTATAAAAAGAATGCTAGTACAAGTTTTTGCAGGTACACATTCGACTTATAACAGTACATGTACCACGTAATTCTGGAAATGTCACGGTGAAGTCGCTTTGTACACAATTACAATGTAGGTATAAACATGAGCTGTTAAATCGCACGATGTGCGCAATGCACGGACATTGAGGGGCATATGTACGCAGAGCTACTGACGTAATTTATCACATAACATATGACGCGCACGTGAAACACTTGTAACACGTATACTGTGCTGTGTAAAGCAGGTCATTGCCGATGCCTTCGCTGCTATCGTTAACTGTTACAAGCCCATTGAGAATCTCGTTATATTCAACAGCGCACGGCTTCTTATCTCATCAAATCATCAAAGTTAATAACACAACTCGCCAACTTTGTCCTTATCTGGCCGTCGTCGATCACGTTAGAGCAAATAAAAGATATAGTATAGACTATTTTATCAAATATGATAAATAGTAATTTAGAACAACGGTAATTGTGACATTCGTATGTAAATAGAGGGCTCACATTCATACTGGCATATATTTGATACCACGCACTAATCACTTAATGTACTACTGTACGCTTATCATGTATGTTGACTTAGCTTATCATATTTTGACGTGTTTGCAATACCATGCCAACACACGTAACACAACAATAGAGCGTTGCATAGTTCTTGTGATTGGTACCTGTACGGAGCCAACAACGACTATGCCCCTCGTCTTGGATTAATAAAACTTGGTAAAGCGTATAGAAAAACACGAGTTGGAAATATAGCAACCACGCAGGTAATATTAATTTATTGTCAGATTGTATTTCCTAATTATTATAGTAGATCATGTGAATTTAAAGCTGCCCTCTTAATCCCCGGGATGGAATGTACCGTGGAGTTATGGACAGTATGCTCCATATTTTGCACACAGCATATCAGTGACCTCACCACATTATATAGTTAAATTTAAATTTCATGCAACCGTGTGACCAACTTAATGCATTAACTTTAAACAAATACTAAGCTTATGTCATGGCACATCATTCTTATTTGTGTTTAGATCAGTTAATGTGTCCTTTGTTTCAAACGTTATAGTAATTTAGCAATGAAAATGAACATAACCAATCTAATGAGATACATCAGGGAATGTGTATGATCCAATCGATATTTAATTGTTTAACCATGAACGCGGAAAATTGAAAATCACTAAAAAAATTGACAATTTGATGAGTGAATTCCACGGAAAGAATTACTTTGTTATTTCCTCATAGCCTGGTGGCCATTTTGAATTGAATATATGTCAAAATAGTTGAGGTTCATAATTAAACAAATCCCGGGTACGTTTTTTTTTCCCTCGAACTTTTAAATAAACAATCACATGGAATACATTCCTAAAAATATTAGGCAATGTGAAAAATATGTTACCGCGTTCACCCTTGATTGTGACTCAACTTGCCGCTTCGACCGTGACCCCTAGATGTACTTATGTGATATCTTGTTTATTCCATTATCTATTTTGCAGCTTTAAAGAAAAAAACTTAAGAAGAGATCGTAATCTGTGCGTATTCAAAAGAAAGTGCAAACAATTAGTTCTAGATTTATGTATACGTGAAAAGACCCCCTCGATAATAAATGACCAACTCCTAATTGTGTTGCAAGAGACTGTTTTGCTCACTGTTCCAACCTCTTCTTTCTTTGTTCTAAACAATTCCCGTTTAGCAGAAAAGAAGTTTTTATGATGGGTCTGCAACTTGTGAAATTGAGAACTCCCACACGGTCGCTATCGTTAATTAACGGGTTGGTAATGGAACCCGGCCCACAACAGTCTGTTAATTAACCATAGTGTCCTCATAGTCGTACTCTATCAGATATAGATTACTTCAAATAAGGAAATGTTCAAAGTTTATAGTTGCTCTGACATACAGAGCGCAGTGATTATATCCACACTCGGCATATAGGTGCCCATTGTCATGTTAATAACTGTCTCGATTAATTAACTATGATATTTTAATTACATTTACAGTCATGCATATAATGCAATGCCGCTATGATATACTTATAAGTTGTTTCGTACTGTACACTCAGCTGAAATAATTAATATCGCAAACCAGTCCTATTGTCAGTATTGTATTCTCGTCTTTGGGATTTAGCTAAATCGATTAGGGGCTATGTTTGACTGGGATTACTTTAAGGGGATTCCTGGTTTGATTATGATTGGGAGTTTAGTCAACACAACGTGACATGCCCACTCCAACTACATGATATGCGGCTGATGTGACACTGAGGGTCACGCTGTACGATATGTCGTGTGTGCAGGTAGTGAGCACGTGCAAGTAGTTAGTGAGATATGGCGACAAGACAGCCTGAGGAATGGTAGGATATTTTAAAATTGAGCATGTAGAGGGAGGTGTCTTAGATTTTGGCAATTGTCTTGCAACAACGCAATGAGGTGTTGATATCGTAATTTCGCATATCTTTGTTGTTAACAAACGACATTATTTAATTAAGAGTGGATATTCCGTTCCAATATGACAGTGAACAACGAGAAGGTATACCATGTTCCAGTTTTGTAGCCAACTCATGTTGTGTAACTGTGGTAATCAAAGTAGTAAATAAGAATATCAACAAATCTGACAGTATGAACTCATAATTCCACTTGAAATCACAGACGTTTTACATTAAAGTAATAATATATATTTACCGTTTTGTAAAAACACATTTAAGTATATGTCATGACTTTTTACGTATAAATTTGTTATAATCTTAATTATGATTATACGATGCAAATAATGATCTCATTGTTTTTTTTATCGCAGTACTTAAAGATCTTTTACTAGGAGAACATTTTGGAACGTGCTTCGACCAAGAAATAAGTTTATACAATAGTGTCTGCACACGAAATACTTTTAGCAAAGTGTGCGTACCCAGGCAACTTTCTATTTACTCTGGGGCTCACACTTTGGTATTTTTGGTGGGAAGACCAGTATGTGGTTTTGGATTCTGATCTGTGCCACTGTGTGAAAACAATTGTAGCTTTATTATTCCGATGATTTAGATTATTGTTAAACGTCTGGTTTATTGATTAATTTTGGAATTGATTTTAGTCAACTTTACTGTTTATTATGTATATAGGGCACCGAAGAGCCACTGTTATACTGATATATTAATATAATAGGGTTAATTAGAATAGCCCCGAGTAGTTAAATCTTCAATGGAGAGATGTTTATAAATCTCATACTAGGTCTATTGCAATATACAGTGTGAACTACATTGTTCTTGTGATATATATACTAATATTAATAATCGATACTTCAATTGAAGAAATGACTAAAGTTTATTGTTCTCCTCTGGGTTCGGCTAGGCGTTTATGGGTAGCCTGCTTGCTTATACGCTCCTAGCGTCATGACTGTCTGCTGTGAGAATCTACAGGAATATGCAGAACGCCTCCCCAACTAGATGGCACGACGCCAATAAAAGTAGTAAAACCGGGCTCCTCAGTACCCGGGATTTCACATTTGTTATTTTTCACTTTGACTCTCACTAATTTAAGAATATAATATGAAAATAAATCTTACTAACGGCTCAGGACTTTTAGGGGATTGTTCTTTGGTGACATACATGACGATAACACCGAATCATACACGGCAACTTGAACTGTCTGCTTTTTCAAGGTGCATAGGGGTGTGGTGAGGTAGGATAAAATGGTGGTATGGTTGGTGGACGATAGAATGGCCTGGGCTATGGTTGGATGGGGGGGGGGTGTCTGGAAAACATGTTTTATTGCAATCGCCGAAAAATCTATTAACTACCATAGAATTTATGTTTTGTGAAGCGTATTTAAAATAGAAAAGTGACGCAAATGAGTAAGCCAAGCAATATACGCAAACTAAAGCATGCTAACATTTGTTTTGATATTGGTATGTTGTTTAATGTGTCTACCAAGAAACTTTGTTGAAAACAATTCATATTTTGTATGTTAGACATGGAATGATAAAACCCAGATTCCGTTACTAGTTCGGTCGCCTACATTATGCCTGCCAAATTACTAATATTGTGATGGCTTATTGTTGTTGTTGTTGTTTGACAATTTATTGCAACATGCTTTATATAAATTTTGTTTCAAAGATGAACCATGGGTACGAATCTGAAGATTATTATCATCCTAATTAGCATATGGATTATTCCAGGTAACACATTATTTAAATATAAGCATTTTAATCAGATATAAACTTCATTGCCTAATTATAGTCATATCAAAGACAATACGTAAGATACATAATTTGCTCAAAGCTAATGCTTCACTAATCGCCTGACCATCGTCTGATCACATGACCACTAATGTTTATTTTTTTTCACAAACCTCAGGAATTATTTCATCCACCGAAGAACCTACAACAGATCTCACAACTTCATTGGATACTATCACTGAATTAACTACGGAGATTACCACTGAAGAAACTACAACAGATCTCACAACCTCATTGCATACTACCACTGAATCAACTACGGAGACTACAACTGAAGAATCTACAACATATCTCACAACTTCATTGGATACTAACACTGAATCAACTACGGAGATTACTACTGAAGAATCTACAACAGATCTCACAACTTTATTGAACACTACCACTGAATTAACTACGGAGACTACCACTGAAGAATCTACAACAGATCTCACAACTTCATTGGATACTACCACTGAATCAACTACGGAGACTACGACTGAAGAATCTACAACAGATCTCACAACTTTATTGGACACTACCACTGAATTAACTACGGAGATTACCACTGAAGAATCTACAACAGATCTCACAACTTCATTGGATATTACCACTGAATTAACTACGGAGACTACTACTGAAAAATCTACAACAGATCTCACAACTTCATTGGATACTACCATTGAATCAACTACGGAGATTACCACTGAAGAATCTACAACAGATCTCACAACCTCATTGGACACTACCACTGAATTAACTACGGAGACTACCACTGAAGAATCTACAACAGATCTCACAACATCATTGGATACTACCACTGAATTAACTACGAAGATTACCACTGAAGAACCTACAACAGATCTCACAACATCATTGGACACTACCATTGAATCAATCACAGAAACTACCCCTGAAGAACCTACAACAGATCTCACAACTTCATTGGACACTACCACTGAATTAACTACGGAGACTACCACTGAAGAATCTACAACAGATCTCACAACATCATTGGATACTACCACTGAAGAATCTACAACAGATCTCACAACTTCATTGGACACTACCACAAAATTAACTACGGAGACTACCACTGAAGAACCTACAACAATAATCACAACTTCATTGGACACAACCACTGACTCAACCGGGGAAACTACCACTGATGAACCTACAACAAGTATCACAACGTCACTGGACACCACCGCTGACTCAACCTCGGAAGCTACCACTGATGAACCTACAACAAGTATCACAACGTCACTGGACACCACCGCTGAACCAACCTCGGAAGCTACCACTGATAAACCTACAACAAGTATCACAACGCCACTGGACACCACCGCTGACTCAACCTCGGAAGCTACCACTGATGAGCCTACAACAAGTATCACAACGTCACTGGACACCACCGCTGAACCAACCTCCGAAGCTACCACTGATGAACCTACAACAAGTATCACAACGTCACTGGACACCACCGCTGACTCAACCTCGGAGACTACTACCGATGCACCAACAACAGAAACACAATTTTCTACAAACATATATGCCCCACCATGTGAAGTGGTTTCTGGCTATGAGAATGCAACTTTCCAAAACGTTTTTGTTTATGAAAATGAACCCTATGGTACATTTGTAACTGTCCTATTATCAACTGAATTGTATTCAGAATATGACGTCATATATGAATTTGCTGGACGTGTTGAACATTTCGCTATTGATATAAATGTAAGTGAACACAATTCCGTGAACTAGCAATATATAAGTCACATACTAGTCAGAGAAGAATATATAATGTAATTATTATGTATGCTAATTTGATTAACAATATTAGTAATATAGTAGTTGTTTGTATTTATAGGGTACTGTAACAACATTATTGCCATTGGATAGAGAATCCCGCGACTTGTTTCACTATGCTGTTGTTGGATATATTGCAGATGAAACTAAATGCTTCAATTTACCGGTCAGTAGTTCATCAACATAACGTATTGTTTCAAGACTAGGGTTTCAGCGAAATCGTAATTAGGTTATTCATGTATTTGTTCCTTCCAGTAAAGTAAATTGTAATGCAAACTAATATTACGCAAAACTGTAATGAACTTTCAGGTTGCCGAAGAATTGCTGATTACCGTTTTGGATGTTAATGACAATTCCCCTAATTTTACTAGTGAAATATATGTTGGGTCTGTCGATGAAAATTCTCCCGATTACACCGAAGTTATCATGGTAGGTTGAGTTGATTTAAACCGAAATTGTTCTCCGCTTCGTTCGATCGTTGTACATCGTCCGTGCATACTTTACAGAAAGCTCATCTTATATTCAGACCTCATATTATTATTTTTTCATTCTAGTTTCCACCCATACTTGCAACGGATAAGGATGATCGGTTACATGCATCAATAGTATATTCCTTAACCGGCGAAGGTAGCGAGATGTTTCACATAGATCAGTTCACGGGAGAAATAACCACAAGTCACATAAACTTAGATTATGAAATGAATACAACATTCCATCTCACAGTGACGGCTAAAGATTGCAATGGGGAGTATGGAAGCCGAGAAAGTAACTCGTCCGTTGTTATTCAAATCAGTGACGTCAATGATAATGCACCAGTTTTTGAGCAGTCTGAATATAATTACATACTTGCAGAAGACACGGAATTAGGCTACAATCTAGATATTTTATCAGCTGTGGACGACGATGATGGCATAAATGGAAGAGTGATTTATTACCTAGAAAATGGTGACCATGGGGACTTTAAAATAGATAGGTACAGCGGTGCGTTATATGTCTCAGGGGAGTTGGATCGTGAAGTCAGATTTTCATATAATTTGAACATCATTGCAATTGATGGCGGTGATCCAATCTTAGAGACAAATACCACCGTTATTATACACATAACAGATATCAATGATAATATTCCGGTATTTTCACAAGAAGTGTACACTAACAGTGTTCAAGAAGATCTCAGCATTGGAAGTTACGTATTATCTGTTACAGCCAATGATGCTGATTCCGGAATGAATGGGAATATTACTTATACGATAGACACAAATGATTTCACAATTAATGGAATTACAGGTGAGATTATCATTATTTGATTGGGTAGAGAGATATCAGATGATATCAATATGAAGTATATCTCAGTTATTAATTTTACGCGAGAAACACATGAAAACCGCGCATGTACACAATGAAACGATTTTCAGTGCTAAACCAGTACACAATTATGTTCTCATAGGTGAAATATACACTAATCGCATGTTTGATTATGAAAACCATGACGACAGAACGCATGAATTTATGGGTAAGTTAAATTAGCGCTACCCATAAAGTCACAAATAAAGTTTCATTTCATAGTATTTGTCAAAAGCAACTATTAATTAATTTATCATGGTGCTAATTATATGGGTTGATTGCTTACATCAGTTATGCTAAACATGTAGATAAATGACTCACGCATATCTATCACGGTACATGTTACATGTTATTTAGTCGTTAATTACAAGTTTATATACGAACGTATAAAAATAAAATACGTGATTTGAACTCTCAAGTCAGCAACAAAACACATAACTGCTATTTACCTTGATTTATCATTTCAGTTGAAGGTAGAGACAACGGAATACCCTCTCATACGTCATCGGCATCTGTTGTAATACAAATCCTGGACGTTAATGATAACTCCCCAACGTTTACCCACACCCAATACAATGGTACAATAATGGATGGGACACTAGCTTATTCACCCGTTGTTGTAACACATGCTTTTGACCTTGACTCTGGCGATAACGGAAATATATTCTACTACATGACAGAAAATACCACAGATTTTTTCAGCGTTGATTACAAAGGGGTTGTGTATTTGACGGATGATGTAACTTATGACGATCTTGAGGACGTGCTTGGACCTGATGACTCATTACAATTTTCAGTTGTTTGTCAGGATAATGGAACACCATCTCGTCAAAGTTCTACAAACATATATGTCATATTCAAGAACGTGGGTGCGTATTAAGAGAATTATTATTAATATGATTAATACGCATTCGACATTGTACTGCTATATACATGTATTAGGTTCTATACTACAATTAAACTCCCCCAAAACATGAAAAACGGGCATATTGTACACATGAAACCAACGAGTTGTACGCTAACATTTCATTTCCAAACCTAAGTCTAGCTCATCCTATTATTGTTACAAGTAACACATTATGATTTTGACGTTTCACACGGAATTTCACGATTTCGCCAAGAGTTGTTGTTGGTACACGATATGTAACTATACTCAATTTATGGCTGATAATTATCATTGTACATTGCAATATACATTATCTGTTGTATTATTTTTCAGACAATACGAATTCTTCATGCGTGTCCAACGCATCATGGTGTGGCAGCTTTTGGTACAAATTTAAAGTGGTTGAACATTCACCAGCAAACACTGTGGTAGGAGATGTATCTGACGAAGCATCTGCTATGACCAATCCAAGTTATGACATTCTGGAAGAATCTGCAAGTGAGTTATTTTGGGTGGATGATGATGGGGTAATACGTACGGTCGATGATAGCGTAGACCGAGAGACGAATGCGACAATCATGTTAACTGTAGAAATCGTTTCTGGTAGTCCAGCTATTACTAAGTACGTACCGGTGTATATCAACGTATTGGACATCAACGATAATGCACCTTCGTTCAACCCGTCATCTTACTTCGTTGGAGTGTTAGAATACACGCCGTCGGACAGTATAATAGCGGTAGTACATGCAAGCGACCCCGATTATGGCATCAACAGTACACTGACATACATCGTACAACAACCTGCTCACACATATTTTTTCATGGAATTCAACATTCTAAAGAACAGTCAAGAACTTGTTATCGCAGACATGATAACCGCAGGATTAGACGTGGTCAATGGAGTCGTTGACATCATTATTGAAGTTCGCGATGGTGGGTATGAGTATTCACTGAATGATGCCACTGTGCGATTAACAATCATGGAGGCAACAGTTGACCCCGGTGGTAGGACGTACGACAACTCAACAGTAATGGAGAATAGTCCCGCTGGTACAAACGTTACACATGTGGAAGCTGAAGGTTATGAAGGATACGATATAATCTATGATTTCTCACAGTCCAATGTGGAACAATTTCATATCGACAGTTATACTGTATGTATATATGGTTTAATTATATTATTACAGATGTTAAATCTGACAATTATCACATATACACATATATCAACGCAGTCTTACTAATTTTGGCATTTAGCATCAAAGTTGTTATTCAATATTAACCTATATCATTGCGCTAGTCAATATTATATGTATCGACTGAGTTAAAATCGACCTTTTTTGTTTCAATTTGGTTGGTATTTTCTATGTAATACTGAAAATGAAACGTATGTGAATTCACAAATATGTCTACAAACATCATTATTTGGCAATTTACTACTACTGAAATGTTTTTTATTTCAGAAAAAAAATGTTTCATTTTGAACAAATAACTTTTTAATGTAATGTAATATGTATAACCTTTAACAGGGTGTAGTGACAACTACGGAACCTTTAGACAGAGAAACCCGAGAGACATATAGGTATGAAGTTGTTGCAAAACTAGAAGGAGATTCTGCTTGCCTTGTTGACCCTGTAAGTATGTTAAAAACGGGCACCTGCGTCGTGGGTTCATACTTTTGTTTTTATCTCCCTGAAAACAACATATATTTTGCTTATCCATTGCAGGTGATTGCCGAATTACTGATAACCGTACTAGATGAAAATGATAACAGTCCAAAATTCTCTCAAACAGAGCCATATTCAGGAAGTATCGATGAGAATTCTCCTCCAGACACGACCGTGATGATGGTAAGAGCATACCAAAAAGAGTGTGGTTGATAGTTGGGACGTAATAATGCACGAGCATCGTTGTATTTCAACAGTTTGCTTTGATTGTTTGCCTGTCTGTCCATAAATAAACTATATCAATGTTGCTGTGTATTCATGGTTATTGATTTAAATTTGTCATTCCTACATACCAAACAGAATATTTAATTACTGACACAAAAGTACAGCCCTCCACACAACTATAGCACATACACAAACACATAACTAACAACTTACGTTTTATTGTCTTTTCAATAGATTGAAGAAATCATAGCATCTGATTTAGATAAAGGTTACAATGAACTAATCATCTACACTTTGGATGGGCCTGGACACGAACAGTTTCAAATAGACAGTCGCACAGCAGTCATCACAACAACAGATGATACAGATATTCTGGACCTTGATAGGGAGAGATACGATCAATATGAACTTTTCGTCACTGCCTCGGACCGTGGCGGTGGTGATGGCAGTCTCAATAGTACTGCGACAGTGATTATCAATATTCTGGATGTAAATGATAACAATCCACAGTTCGAGTACTCGTTATACATGTATTCATTTGAGGAAAACATAACAACTGGGTATCTGATAGATACTTTAGTCGCCACTGACTTGGATGAAGGAGACAACGCGAAAATTATCTATTCCATAGTGTATGGAAGTGAGGGTAAGTTTAGAATAGACCGATACTCCGGAGAGCTGACTGTGATAAGTGAACTTGATCGAGAGAAAACAGCATCGTATAAACTGAACATTTCAGCTGACAACGGGGTTCCAGGGCGAATTGATTTCACTGAGGTATTAATTGACTTAATCGACATAAACGATAATGCTCCCCAATTCAGCGAAACCACCTACCGTGCAAATCAAGAGGAAGAAGTGCAGAACGGAACTTTTGTGCTGAGAGTGGTGGCTGAGGACCCGGATGAAAACGATAATGGTCTTCTAACATATAGTTTGAACTCAACTAATTTCGTTATCAATCCGGATACAGGTAAACAAGTATTGGAATGTCACGTCAACACGCAGTGCATTTTAACATGCGACGTAACGACTATTGGGTATCTCATACTGTGGCAATAAACCAAGGGATATACCAAGGAATTGTGTGAAATCGAATATAAGTATGCCATTGTGCTTATCAACTTTATGTCAATGTAATTCTGAGATATGGAAATTACTTTAAAATATCAACAGCTATGTAAAAAAAGTCCATAGAACTAGAACATAAGCGTTATAGATACACAGATTATAGTTCCGAACGCACGATTGCGTAATTCTGAAAAAATAATGTTCGAATGTATTGCTTTTGAACACCTAATACCCAAGGATCGCAATGTTTTTCATTATGTTCTATGATCGTAACTCATAATATATAATTCTTACTGTTTTCAGTGTGCTATCCTCCATTATTATGCAGTTATAATTTGTATGGTTTAAAATCTGTAATATTTTCAATATTTGCTTTAGGGGAAATCTTCACATATTCATGTCTTGACTATGAAGACCCAGATGGAAGGCGATACGATTTTTATGGTAAGTTTATAATGTATTACTTATGTGCTCATCTCAGTCGGGGAAAATAAAACAATGCAATCGAACATGAGAACATACTAAAATACTCACTGAATCTACGGCATTATATATCGTAATATACTCTTTTACAGCTTACACCCAAGACAATAGACCTCCATATTATACGTCAACAGCAAGTGTTATAATCAGCATTGTAGATATCAATGACAATTCACCTGAGTTCGCCAGTGATCGATACGACGGCACGGTGGAGGATGGAACGGGTGCTGGGCATGTGGTACTTACCGTAACAGCTACGGATGAAGACAGCGGGGAAAATGGCCGCATCTCCTACCACCTTACAGATAACACCACAAATCTGTTTGCTATTGATGACAGAGGTTTAATACAGCTAACGGGGCCAATCTATTATGACGCAGACTATCTCGACGAATATCACTCTCTGCAGTTTACCGCAGTAGCCGAAGATCACGGTATCCCGCCGCTCAATGGCACTGCGAAGGTGAATGTGACAGTGACTAAAACGAACGATGTCGCTTTAGAATTCAATCAGACATATTATGACGGAAGTGTGGTGGAAGAACAAGAACCTGGAGCTTACGTTCTAACGGTGTCGGCGGGAAACGATGACGACGATATATGCTACAGATTCACTCATAGAGTGGACGAATTTAGCATAAATTCAAATGTAAGTATAATATGTTTTTTATTTACTATTCTCCTTTGAGCAATTAAACACACACAACTATTAAAACCGACCAAGTGACTGTACTTCTACTTGTTCTACTTGTAAGATTATGGAAATACCGACCAGCATTTGAAAGACAATCCACATGCATTCACCAATTGAAGCCGAGGGATCGTCACCTGCGCACGCGCGGGAATCCCAAGCGATGATAACAACACACGTTAAAAACGCAAAGGATGTAGGTGGACGCTTGTTTGTAAACTATAACATGTTCTGGCCATCTGGCGCATGCGCAGGTGACGACATTTCTGTCCGCTCTTGGATGCAATCATTATCATAATGTTTACAGTCTGCCTCCCCTCTTTCCCAGTCGATTCATAAAAATACACAGTAGTGCATGTCAGAAAAATTGTCTAGCATGCCGCAAAATTCGTACAGGAATTCCATTATTTATTGCATGGGACTTTTCCATATATACCATATTCCATACCTTAGACAAGTCTGCTCGGAATTGGTCGTTTATATGGAGCCATGTATTGCACTCTTTTTGCAGGGTGAAATCTTTACTATGGAGACACTAGACCGTGAAGAGAAAGAGTGGTATTCTTTTTCTGTTGCAGCTCAAGATTGTGATCCCGAAAGAGAGCCACAGCAGCGAACAGCTTACACCTCGGTGAATATTGTGTTACATTCTGTCACTAGTTTATTAGTTGTAATGTAATGTAATGTAATGTAATGTAATTTAATGTACATCGAAACATGGCACTAGAGACAAAATATGGAGATACATACATTTTTCCAGGACTTTAATAACAGTTAAGATTTATTTTATTCTAGGTAATGGTATATGTGCTAGATATCAATGACAATCATCCAATATTTATTGACTTACCATATCAAATGTATGTAGTGGAAGACGACTACACGAGTACCTCAGACACAGTGATTGGCCAGGTCACCGCCACTGATGCGGATGCAGGTACCAACGCCGAGGTCTCATATGAAATAATCGGTGATGGAAATAATGGTAAGATAACACAATGATCCGTTGTCGGAAATAATCGATCCATTAATTGTGTTTATACACGGTATAACATCGATCAACATGACTTCTGTAGTAGTTCCGTACAATGCGCGATTTCTTGTGTGTAGTTGACGAGCATGTTAAATAACACTTGTCTATTTTATTTGAAGAACAAATATTCTATATAGACGAGACTGAAGGAACGATATACGCAATTGGCTTCATTGACAGAGAGTCTAAAGAATCCTATATTCTTACTGTGATGGTAAATCTGATTACATAATCAATCCTTTATTCTATATATTCCATGGATGTATTTAGAACATGTTATTGTTTATAAGACCATATCAGCCCAAATATTTATGACAACAAGTTAGTTTTGCAGTTGTCACTAGATATGCAAACACATGCAATATGCATATCTAAGCATTATAATATTCTTGTAATATTCAATTCAAACAAAATATCAGATATATATTTTCACAGTAGTTATTACACGTAAAATAAGGTTTTAATAACCAGGTATTTGTATCAATGTCATTATATGGCCAATTTTCCTTCTCTTCATGCTTAAATAGACATCAACCTCCAGCTATAGAATACTACATAAGTCACGTACAATTGGGAGACCCATTGAAACAACTTACACTAATTTATTTTTGCGAATGAATCAATGAGTGGTATGGTACGCTGATGTTTATTCATTCTTCACACACTATACAGGTAACAGACCATGGTGTCTTGTCATTGAGTAGCACTGCTACCGTAACCATCGACGTATTGGATGTTAATGACAATGCGCCAATATTCAGTGAAGACGGTTATCATGGGACAGTTAAAGAAAACACCGTCAATGATGACCCAATTGTTGCTGTGCTAGCAACTGATTCTGATCTCGGAGACAATGGTACCGTCTCATATAGTATAATACATGGCAATGATGGAAACTTTCAGATTGATGGTAAGAAACATTCGTTGCATTGTATTGTATTCTGATGTGGAAAATACTGTAAAACAGGTCTGTGTGGTGTTGATAAAATGCACACATGTGTGATACTGTGGTCAACCCCATGACACGCGTTGTGTTGTGTTGTATTGTGTTGGCATAATTTGAAAAGCATACATCCTGCCCTCCCGTGATATAATGTTATGCCTCCCTTTCAGTTGCATGTCTAGATCTAGACTTGATTGCAGCCTGTTGCGATTCCGATGAAAAATGCTTGAAAAATAAATATAAATTGCGTAAACGAAGGGTAAACGCGAAATCCCAACAGACTTGCCATCAGTGTAAGCGCCCCACATTACCGGCCAGATTCGGGCTTAGAAGAAGAAACAATAAGCACGCTACCAGATTTAAGTCGCAGTTTATTTATTTATTTTGGTGTGTGATTTAGAGGAAAATGTCCAGAGAAATCTATACTCAGAACTTGACAAGCGATGTATTGAGAATGTAATGGGATTGACGTCCTAGCTGTTTGCATTACAAATATGTATTTGTTAATATTGTGGTTCGATATTCAATACTGTATAACGGATTACGATTCGTCACAATCACACATTTGTTGGAAGTGAAAACAATATTCAATGTAATGACAAAAATTGTAAAATGCTGTGGAATTTCTTTTGTAAATAAAAATATACTAGCAATTTTCTATTAATGGTTTATTCAAGTGGGCAAAATATAATGTACCGAAAGATTGCCCGTAGAGTATCTCTACCCTGGCTACACTGAAAAGTAAGCAACCGACAGCCTGTATAAAAGGGGGCTGTGATTGGCTGTTACTTACGCGAGATTTGAACGGGACTTACGTAGGCGTCGGATCAGATGTAGGTAGGGCGGAATTAAAAAAAAATCACAAAATCAAAGTAAAATAATAAAATAAAAAGGCATTAATAACAAAAGTAATAAAAAATAAAATGAAATAAGTTGATAGCCAAAATAATTAAAGCCCGTACACTACATCAGATTTTAATCAGATTGGATTCGTCATAAACTAGAAAAAATGCATTTGCCGGACACACGACAGTATTCGTTAAATGTAAAATCAAAACTACTAAAACAAATGTGATTGTTACTGTACGTATCAATCAGTGCACAAACGTATTGGGGAATTTCTACTTTGTCGAACGAATACTAATATGTGAGCTACAAGAGTTTTCAGTTCATGATGAATCACAGTCCAGTGTATTTATTAATGTGCAGTATAAAACAACAACACTTATCCATATGTTTAAGGTATTAAATGGTTAAGCAATTAGATTATTCGCTGTTTGTATATTGTGATTTCAACAGTATTTACTGATAGCACGTATTAATGATAACGATGCATCGTCATGTGTAACTTGTGTATTTTTTATTAAATTTCAGAATATACTGGTATAATAACTCCTGCTGGTAGCGCCGATATCGATTATGAACATAAAATATACTACCGGTTGACGGTGATGGCGATGGATATGGGAATTGTACCATTAAACTCAACGACTACTGTATATATTAATGTAACGGACGTCAATGATAATGCTCCGTATTTTGTTGGCGAGCCTTACGGGAGGAAAATATCAGCAAATGCGCAGACGAACGATTCTGTAGTGAACGTGACAGCTGAGGATAAAGACACTGGCAAAAATTCTCTTATTCGATATCAATTTCAGGACTGTAAGTTGAATCTTTCTGCCATGAATTATAATATAGCCTCGTTATAAACATGTTGTTTCTATACAACCATGTAGTGATATGTACATATACTGTCAAATTTCAGATGAAGGTGATCATTTCACGATAGACACGTGGACCGGTGAAATCAGGGTCGGTGATTCTAGTTTGACAAGTGCACAAAAGGAGAATAAACTGATAGTCGAAGCACACGATCATGGCGAACCATCCTTATACAATACCACTGAAGTAAGAGCTACATTAATTGTATGAGTTTTATTTACTGCACTATAAGAATACAA